TTATAAAAAATGCATTTTACATTTATATTTATAGTTAGGATTGCTTCTTTGTCGTTATTATTAATAACATAATTATTGAAATTACCTTATTTATTATCTCATTTATATGTGCCGTTAGTCAACTTTGATAATTAAATAAGAGTACAAATAATAATTTTTTCAAGAATCTAAAGATAGAAGAGAGAGAGAGAGAGAGAGAGAGAGAGAGAGAGAGACAGCAAATTTTGTGTCAAAGGACATCATACGAATCCTATGAGGTCTATAAAAACATCTACATATTATAAAATAAATGTTATCCATTCGTACGAAAAGGTTGATAACGAAGCAATGAAGCGCTAAGCCAACTTACCGAGAGTGTTCCCAATTATGAATCCCTTCGCGCACCAGCTGAACAGTATTAGGACTTTTATCAAAAGGCGTACGGTCTCCATGATATGTTGCGATAACGCGGCGCGTACCGATACTCCGAGCACATTTATAAATCATAATACAGCTCGAGGTACTCTCTCATCCCCGTTTTTTTCGCAGGGAGAACACCGCGCGGTGCGCTGTCTATATCCAGAAGAACAAATGCAATTTTACGAAACGGCGACGGCCGCGAGATGATGCAGCTTTTCGCTCTCGCACAGGGTGGGGATGTTGATACTCGGCGTAGCTTAACCCGGCTGTTGTCTCTGCGCAACAAGTATGGAACGATCAATATGCGTTATTTCACGAGTGGGCAAAATTCTCGCGCGTATTTCATAATTTATTTCTTTTCTTTTTTTCCACCCCTTCTTTATCTTTTGCCGAACGCGGCTGATTTTCCATTCCAAGAAAGATCGTTAGAGATTCCCGCGTTGAGCAGAAAAGAGATTCCCTCTTTGATCCTTAACATTCTACACATTGTCCTTACCGTTCGGCAGAAGCCGCTGACGCTTCGAGGTCTGTCTCATAATTTTAAATGGAACACGTGCGTCGCGTTAATAATAATCCCTTTTTGCTCGTCGAGTTTGGCGCTTTAACTGCTCCACTCGGCTCGCATTTTCGCGTCTCTATCGCACAATGCAAAATGACTGTGTAGTGTTCACGATGCATCCCGATCCCGTACACCTCCGCAACATTTTTGCGAACGAGGGGTGATTGATAGTCGCGGCATTGCTCTCCACGGACACTGCGATATCGCGGGAGGAAAGGACTTTTCAGGGTGATACGTGATAACGCCGAGGGGTGTGACGTTCCGACAGCCAATGGCGATAGCGGTGGTGTTTCACTGCGCAAAATCATAAAATTCCCGATAATCGAGATATTTTTCCACAATACGAGCATCGACAAAAGCTTTCCATGAACTCCAAATGCGTCAACCTTTTTTAAAACAAAATGCGCTATTAATTTAATATATTCAATTCGATATATTAATATGTATGATTTCATATAGGGTAATTGTCTTTATTATTGTGTCTTTGTATTTAATCAATAAATCATAAAAAAAAATCAACATAATGATAAGAAAAAGTATTTTTTCTTTTAAATTGAATCATTAATATATATACGAGATACTAAAGATAATATTTTATTTTTTAACTATTAAAGTATAGTAAACATTTTTTTTTTAATTATAAGAAATTTATGTGAGTCCAGTAATATCGTATTTTGAGCTTGTCCCGGTTAGTGTACTTTGTATTGAAATTGAAAGCGTTATGTGTACATTGAAATTGTAAGTACAATTAAAATAATGGATTTATGAAATATTAACTTAAACAATTAATATTAATGCCATTTAATATCATTTAAACATTATTAAAATCGGTCTAAGATGTGAAAAAGCATCAAATCGTTAAATTGCTAGTCTATGGGTGCTTTCCAGCAAGAGACACAGATGACACAGTGAATCATTATATTTTTGTTGTTTGCTAATGTTAAACGAAGATGACATAATCACTGTGTTACACTCTGTCACTTGCTGGAAAGCACCAAATGTAACTCATTACTGCAATAGTTTAGTACAATTTGCGTTTCAAGACCAAAAAATAATTTCGACATGTAGTTTAAAGGATTACATATATAGTATATAAATTGACATATAATTATAAAAGCACTTAAGATCCAACCAGACCATTAAAGACATTTATTTCTATTGGTTAATTCAGTAATGAGTAAATTAGCTTAAAGGCACATTAATAGGAACAGATACCCTACATCTACATGGATATTAAATATGTATTTTAATTATAGTATTTTATCGTTAATACAACAAACATAAACCATAAATTTGTCGTACATGTATATATATATATATATGTGTGTATATACATATATATATTTATTTACACAAAGTATATTAATTCTAGTATATTAATTCTAATGATTAAGGAGCAGGAAATTTATCATTATGTAATGAAAGAGGCACTCTAGAGAATGTAAGAGTACTCGAATATTTTTTTTATTAATGAACTTTATATCTCTGTAACATTTTTTTTTATTCAATAGTCTATGTATTTATACTATATTTTCTCATTTCCGTGCAATAATGTCGTTTTCTGTACAATTGGTAATATCTGTTTACGTGTTACCTTCACATTTCTTTGTTTGTACAAACAGAGAATATGTTTCTCTTCTCGAATTTCTTTAATTAATTCGAGATTTAGAGATGGCTGAATAGATTCAAGCAACGCTTGAATTATCTGTAAATAAGATAAAAATATGTGTATATACTGAAATAATTTGATACAACAATTATATTAGATAATCATGCTCACATCGTTCGCCAATTGATTACATAATGTTGAAAAGATTGCAATATCTCTAGATACACGTTCCTTGGTCACATCCTGCCCGATAAGAACAACGACGTTGCAATTTCTTTCATTAGCAAACTGTTCAATAACCTCTTTTGCATTTTCTCGAACAAGAAAATCCTAAAATTTGTTATAAATTATACTTTAAATTAATTAAAAAAATTAATTCACACTATCAATAAAATAATTCCAAATATCGCACCTCTACTAAAAAGGAAAACCCAACGAGAGGTATCCCATTCGTTACTTTCAGATCCTTAATCATAAGTTCTTCAAGAGTCAATTCACTGATGTCTGTTTTTGCATGCATAATCTTTTTAAATATATCAGTTCTGTCAGATGCAAGTCTACCAAGTTGCTCAAGAGCATTTAATATATCAACATCAGTAGCAGTTGCTCGACCAGCTTCATCCGACATATTATAAGTGTCAATCAATATTGGACCTGCAAAAAAATATTGGATATTATATAATAAAAGTTTTACGTTCACACACACACACAACATTAATAATCTATTATCAAAATAATATTTACCTCGCAAGAGACTCGAGAGTTGTGTATCCAGAATATCAGGATTCTTCTGTAGGACATTGCGTGCAACAAGAGTGGCACAACTTCCAACAATTTCTATGTTTAACAGCACATTGGGCCATGACCAGACTGTATCCAGTGGCCGATGATCAATGATCATCACAATTGAAGGCTTCAACTCGAAATCCTCATTGGTAAGTGTATGATGATCAACTAAAATCAGCTCCAGTTTCTTGTTGGCATCATTCTGTATATTTTGCAAATCAATCTGATCTCTGTCAAGAGTATAATCAAATAGCATAACGCTCAGATTGCTTTCCAGAAGCTTAGGACTTACCTGAATGTTACCAAGTTCAGCGGGATGTTATGAGACTTCAGGCTATAAACTACTTCCGTCTTAATACGAAATTCTTTTTCTGGGATATTCATGACTGGTATTACGGCGACATCGGTAAGTCCAAGTTTCTTGATATCACTATACTCCAACAATCCTTGGACCAGAGCACTCACAGCAGAATCCAAGTCGCATGTCGGATTCCCCAGAATGACACGAATCGTTTGATAGACTGACAACTGGGACTACAATAAAATATAAATAAACAAGATAGATTGAATGTAAAATAATAAGTATTCTGAAACTGTGTGTAAAAAGTTATTACCAACGCGGTTTTTGAGGCGTTAAGAAACACTTCCATAACTCTTTGTGTTTGTATCCAATTTCCTTTTATTTCTTTTTTTTCTTTTGGATGGTAATTTATTCCTCGATTTTGTTTTGATAATTATACAGTTTAGCATACGCAGCTCAAAAATCAATAAAATTTGATTTTGCACAAAACAAAAGAATCTAGCAGAAATAAGCGTCGCTCTGCCCCGTTAATGAGGATATTAAGCATTAAAATTGACGATTATTGAGGTTAGGAAATCTGATACATCGATTTAATGCAGTGCTATATACACGTACTTTGATTGGTAAGTATTTATTTAGAATTGCTACCTTTTACCTCCCAATTGAACGAAATTAGGCTCATTCAACGCGTTTTCATTCAAAATGAATCTAGCTTGCTTTACTCTTGTTATGTACAAAACATTTGTTTTTGATCATAAACTTATGTATCGTAAACATGGGTTTATAGCTTTCGGTAATTCTCCAGAAGAGCTTACTTCCGATTTCGATGAAATTAGGCTCATTCGACGCGTTTTTGCGTAAAATGAAAGAATCTGGCAGAAAAAAGTCGGGGACTGTCCTGCGAAACAAGATATTGAGCATTAAAGTTGACAACTATTGAGGTTAGGTCATCTCCGATTTCGACGAAATTAGGCTCATTCGACGCGTTTTTGCGTAAGATGAAAGAATCTGACGGAAAAAAGTTCGAGACTGCCTTGCGAATCGAGATTTTGAACATTAAAGTTGATTAAGCTTTACCACGTAACACGATCATTGATCTGTCATGTAGACAGTTGAATGTATAGATTAGTGCTTATTTGGTCTGTTTTCTATTCCTGCACTAGACTTGACTAGACCAATGACATAGAGAATGGACCGCGCGATCCGTATCTAAGGCCGGTATTTATAGTCAGATCTTATATTCAAGATCGTCTTAAGTACAGTCTTAAGAAGTCACGAACCAATCAGAGAGCTGCATTAGCGTCTTAAGACTACTTAAGACGATCTTGAAACAAGAACCGACTATGAATACCGGCCTAAGTAGTGTATCAAATGTGGTCGACAATAATGAGAGAGAGGACCGTGGGAGATGGCCAATCTCCCTCTCATTCTCTCTCCCATTACACCATTGAATGGAAAGAGATAGAAATGGCCGTCTGCCACGGTCCCTCTCTCTCATCCCTATCGACCATTTTCACACACGGATCGCGCAGTCCATTCTCTACGTCTTTGCACGAGACTGTCCTAGAACTCTCTTTCTCGCTTTAAACAAATGTCAAACGTACATCTATCTCACTTTAAGTTTCAAAAGTGTACACTAGTTAGCCACAGAAAACAGACCTATTGGTTCGGGCTACACCGCCCCGAACAAAAAAAAAGTCATCCTATCCGCTTGGGATCCTAACTGCTTAGAAGTTGCAACCTAGACAG